TATTATTATTATTATTTTTATTTTTAATAAAATGCTGAAGTGGTAGGTAGATGCAAGATAAAGGTAGAAAACATAGTTTAGTGCTGTAAGAAGGCAAATGTAGATGATCAGATGATCAGGTGTGTGCCTATGGACTAAGTATTAATCCAGGCTAGACAAGGGCAGCAAGACATCCACGGATGCAGAAGATTTCTCTCAAAACAGGGGGGGTGAGGTTCTGAGCCTCACCTCTGTTGATCCCCAAATTCTCACCTGATGGCCCCCCTGCGACTGTGCCTGTCTTAGGTTGTTCCTCCCTTGAGGAATAAGAAAAGATTTTTTAATCTACTGCTATGTAAACAAAACCAAAACAGCCAATTCCAAAAGAGCATGTCCTGACCCACTGGGAGAGGCCGGCAGGCGCCCCATGGGGAGCTGCAGCCAGATGGGAGGAGAGGGCTCTGCTCCTCGCTGACTGGACAGGTCTGCACAGCCTCAACTTTCTAGAGTCACAACACAGAGCTGACAAAACCTTGTTTATCTTAAGAGTCCCTAGGTTAAAATAAGGATGGCTCCTTTCTTGATAAAGTGCTAGATAAAAACACAGCGCTGAGCACGCCCAGGTCCGAGATGTGGCTCTATCCCTCCTGAACTGTGAGCTGAGGGAGGCGAGGGGCCCTGTCTGAGCCTCAGCGGGTCCGTCTTAAGAAGAGTTGTGAAGAAACGGGCTTACGTTCCCACCCAGCATCACGGCCGCGTTCCTGTCCAAGAAGGCGCAAAGCAATCAGTATTTTCTCGCTAATGGCTTCACTACACGGTCTTTGGAAGATTAAATGAATAAAATCCGTGTGATGTGGCTTAGCATGGTGACTGGTCTAATGTGTTCACAAAGCCAAGAGAGGCTCGTAAACATCAAGAATTAGACCACCAGATGCAGACTGACAGCCTGTGTGGAGACGTACAGGCATTCACTGCCCACTTCCTAGGTGTCCCGGGTTCTGTGCCAGGCACGTGCCCACCGATGACCCTGGGACGGGGGAACAGCCCCGATCTGCCTAAGGGAGGACAGGGCGCTCATACAGGGCGGGAGAAAACGCCACGTCTGACTGCACAGAAAAGGGACGGGAGGCATTCTGAGGTCCGGGGACTGCTCAGTGGTCGGGAGTCCAACGACTATCTTCCTGATGCCCCCTTGCCGAGCCCCGTCTTTCTCCATAGCCGACTGGGACCAGGGTGACACCCAGTGCAGGGCTATGACCCCAAGGCCACCTCACACTCCTGCTCTCTTCAGCCACTCTGAGAAGGTATTTTGTTAGCAGCCCCGCAGAAAAGCTCACGTGACAAGGAACTGAGGCCCCGTGCCCACAGCCCGCGAACCAGCTTCGCGGCACAGGGTCCAGCCCAAGGCGAGCCTCCCAGACACGGCAGCCTCCTGGGCACCTCGCCTGGCGCACCAGCTAAGCTGCCCTCAGGCTCCAGACCCCCAGGGCCATGGGACATACTGTTTTCTGCTTTCAGTCACTCAGATTCAGGGCGATTTTCACACAGCAGTAAGTGACCGCTACGGGTATGCTGACATGCCATGGTTGGCACTGGGCTGTCCTGCACGATTTTCCTGCCTCAAAGGCTGACTGGGAAAAGGCAGGGCTTCGAGCAGAGCAGCTTCATGTGATGCAGAGAATCTTTATGTCTTCCCAACACTTTCAGTTGTGCTGTTTTATACACAACTACCCAGTAAAATGTTCTGTTCTCGGGTTAGAATTTAACATGAAAAAGTAAATTCAAGTAAGAAAGACACGGTGGAGTTTTATAATTTGAGGTAAAAAGTTATCAAGAATCCACAGCACAAGGGGAGTTCTGCAGGGCCAGAAGAGGTGGAGCCACTGCACCCGGCTTCTGGTGCCTGGGAGTGGGTGCAGATGCGGAGTGGGGGGGGGGGGG